GCGCTCTGTCCCCTCTCCTGTTTGTGTTGCTCATGGAGAGAATGGTCAGGAGCAGCCAAGGCGATGAGTGTATCAGCGTAGGAGATGTGGAGAAGAAAAAGTTGCTGTTTGCAGACGACCTTGTTTTATTGGCATCTTCTGAAGCTGATCTATAGTGCTCTCTGGAAAGAGACGTGGGCGGCATAACGTGTGAACGCATCTAAAACGAAAAGCCTAGTGCTTTCTCGTTCTCCTACTCATTGCTCTCATCAGATAAACAGATAAGCAGTTGAACTGGCAAAACAAACTCGATACTAAGACCTACTAAGCTAGAAAAGAAGGGTTATTGTGACAGAACGCCAGCGGTACTTAAAAAATATACATTTCAAAGAAAACAATAAGTTAGTCCCCTCTTCATAGCCAATCTACAATGCAAGCGGAACTCACAGATAGTGGAACATACGAAAAAGAAGGGACGCACTTTTTATGATGAGAGCGTAACGGTATCGTCAATAAGAAGTTTTGTGAACAGACCCATTAAGGAAGCACGAATCGTACAGTCAATATCAACTACGAAAAGGGATACTAGTTCTGAGCAAACTGGATGAGCCTCTTCGAGCCAGTTGCTGAGAAACCACCAACAGATCAGTACGGCTAGAAGCGAACCAGCTGTGCAAACCAAATTAATATCAACCATCGCATCAACAAGAAAGGCTTTATGTCACAGAAGCTACTGGTTTGTGCTGTTTAGATATTGCTTTTTTGTGTTGATTTTCAGTAGGATTATCAACACACGAACAAAATACTCTAAGCGTAGATCCATTATAATTGTTTCTTCATTTAATCATTTACCGCTTTCCGCAGCTTTAACGAAAGCAGTAGCTTCACGAGGTTTCTTTTAAATTATCTCAACTCTCTGCTACTCAAAAAAAAACTCAATCGCTATGAACTGAGTCCTAAGCCGCGATAATGTCAGGCATTCTATATGTTCGTGTTACGTGATCCTCTGTCAGAGAGATAGATAGTCGTGTGTCACATCGTTTAAAACTGCAGTTTTTTTCTGCTTTTTATCAGACATCACGCCCAAATAATGTTTATTGCAAATATCGACTAACCATGCAACCTAACATTGATTAAAAATTGCTAGAGTTTCGCTCTCTATTAATGGATTAGCTAAAAA